GAGGTCCAGGAACACCCCCTGCCTCATCGGCTCCTCCACCCCCTGTGTCAGAAAATTGTTCTCAACACATTGTAGGAACCCTTTGGACTGCTCGTGCCTGGCCTAGTTGCTTACCCAGCAGATGTCTGGGTAACTGAAGTCCCCCATGAGGACCAGCACTCATGATCGTGAGGCTACTAGCAGCTGTTCATAGAAGGCCTCATCGACTTCTTCCTCTTGATCTGGAGACCTGTAGTAGACCCCCACAACCATGTCTCCCATACCAGCCCACCCTTTAATTATTACCCACAAGCTTGCTCCCTCACACAAAGTGAAACCCCACCCCCTCGCTTCCCCAGCCTGTCTTTCCTAAAAAGGACGTAGCCCTCAATGACAGCGTTCCAGTCATGCGAGCTGTCCCACCATGTCTCAGTGATCGCAACGAGATCGTGGCCCTGTGACTGAACACAGATCTCAAGCTCATCCTGTTTATTTCCCATGCTCTGTGCACTGGTGTACAGGCACTTTAGGGAAGCAGCAGGTGCAGTTACCCCTGGGGGAATGCAAGAAAGAGATACTGGATGGCGGATGAGGAACACTACCTTCTCTGAGGAACCCTCAGACAATCCTATGGGAGAGCTCAGAAGTGTTTCCCTGTCTTCAACAGTGACAGTAGTGATGAATTCCCCCAGCCCTTCTATTTCACCTTTAGCTCCCCTCCCTTCCCCCATCAAACCTAGTTTAAAGCCCTGGTAATCAGCCCAGAGAGCTTGCTCCCCAACACACTTGTGCCCCACTTGCTCAGTTGGTGGATTAGGCTTAAATCCACTTAATATGTTCAATATTCATGCTGCATCATTCCAGTATCTTAGATAACTTTTACCTTTGCATGTTCTAGAACACTGCAAACACAAAACATCAGCATGCTTAACAATTATCAATCAAATATGCAAACTCATGAAAACAATTTTTGGTAGGAAAGACTGATTTTCTATTAATTTCCATTCATTACCATTAATTAATTGATCTCATTTACTTCACTACTCAATTTCCATCCCAAGACTGATGTCATGGTGATAGATTTATAATCACTTGAATCATTCTGTTTACCTTTTCTGAATACTGACACAACATTTACTTTCTTCTACTCCTGGGTTTTCCAGTGTCTACAGTACACAGAAAACTGTAACAGTTTATGCAGACAGCTTTTTATCTGGTTCTCTTTAAACTTTCAGATGTTACTTTTCCTGGTCTTTTGTCTAATTTAGTAATTGTGTTAATATACTTAATGTTGCCATTAGCATGGAAAACAAACATCTAGATTATCATCAAATTGACATAAGTAAACTGTTTTTTTCTCTTTTCAAATCAAATGTATTAGTTCCCAGTTAGTTCCCAGTTCCCTGTTCCCTAGTTCTTGCAACTCTAAAGAGTGCTTTCCCCCCAACTCCCCACCCCCGAGCCTATGTTTATTTTTGCATATTTTCTATAATGATATTCTGTAATTCTTACTGTCTTACTTATATAATCTGTTTTAGTTCCTTTGATTAGTTACTTTGATATTAATTTGGCTGTTAATATGCCATAAAACAAGAGCTTTAATGTGGCAGACCGCTATTTGATGTACCAGAGTACAGTATGTGCAAAGATGAAATGAGAAATACACAATCATTCTTCAAGATGTTTGAAACCCTATAAGAATTTTGAGAATAAGAGAATCTTAATATACCTATCCTGAAGTTATAGCTATGGTTTGCCTGACCTACCTATAAGCAAGCTATTTATTATATGGACTTGGTAAGTCCAAGCATCTGGACTAAACACAATGGCACTAAATGTTTAGCACAGTACATTTACTCATGCTTTCAAACACACTCTTCTCCTTTATTTGTTTTAGGCATGATAAGAATATGACAAGAACCAAAATAAAATAAAATAAAATAAATAAAATAGATAAAATGAAAGAAAAGGGAAAAAAAAAAAAAAAAAAAAAAACCATGAAAAATTAAAGACCAGACAAACTCTTAAACTTCTTAGGACAAGAGACTGCTTTTGACTTAGAAATGTCAAATAAAAACAAATAAACAAACAAAAATATTCAAATAACCACCACTTTCTGTTTCTACTTTGTCCAGACATTATGATGTCAGCATGAAGAAAATGAATCAATTAAATGAAGACATATCTACTCTTCTGTTGCCCTCAAAGCAGAGGTCCCTGAAAGAATTTCAGACTTGCAAAAACTTCCTGATTCGGGATCAGGAAGTTCAACTCCATTCAAAATCAATCCATAAGCTAACAAAATAAACAATTACATAATAGTAACAGGCTTCTGAATCCGAAGTTTTATAATAAAAACTTAAAAGAGGATCAATATCTGAAATACCATGACTTTTCTGAAATCCCAAAGACTAGAACTGTGGAGCGTTCAGACCTATCCTACTAGCTTGTGTCAATTCCACTCATAACAAAACAAAACACATCATGAAGACTGTGTCATTAAGCAGATGCATGTTACAGTACTTGATACAGTTTTTAGTGTAATGCTCATGAATATCTGAAAAAACAGAATCTAACAAACTGGAGATTATTCTCAAGATTTCTAGCAGTTGCAGCTATGGGCATGCAGCAAACAAGCTGACATTTCCTTGAGATACTGTGAAAGATCCTATTTAATATTTCAATGGAAAATGTTTTTCATACCTATGAATAACAGCATTGTTAGTACTGGACTTTCATACTGATACAGATGTTGTGACTGACAGTGGTTTCTATCTACAGGATTATTCAAGCATAAAATTATTGTCAAGGCAATCCCAATCAAAAGCAGCTGAGTCCACAGAAAACACATGGTGTTCATATGACAAAGCTCTCCGTGTACATAGATGGAAGCAAAGAAGGATTTTATTGTGCATTAATGATCAATTGAGGCGCACATAAATTACTGTAATTTTTATATTGCCAGTTAGCTACACTCAGAAAGAAAGAAAAAGCCCTAGTTCTACATAAAGATCAAAAGAGAGGCTATTGTCTTCCAAATTACCATTGAGCTCTAATGCAAAATTGGTACAACAGTCTGTGGAATGCTGATAACATTTTGTGCTGCAGTTAGCTACAGATTGTATGAAGTGTGGAAAAGTCAAAGCATAGGTGATTTAAAGTGAAAGACATTGTAACACAGTTAAATGTGACTGCTTCGTATTGAATTTTATGAGCATGTGATTAAGAGAATTGATGACTATGAATCAGTAATCTCTTATTTCCAGGCAAATAAGCAAAAACCAAGAGCATCAGGAAATAAGAACACTTTTTGCACACTAAAATTTTTCCTTAAGAGTTTTCATTCAAATAAAATTTGAAAAGGGTCAAATTTTGAATTGGGTGATTGGGAAGCAGGCAATGAAGCCCTCTAGCTGGCTTTGGAATGCTTCAGTGTTGTGCTAAGCACCAAGCAATTACTCCTCATTTATTATTTCATGCTTGCAACTTTGGAATGCACCACCCGAAATATCTCAAGATATGAGATAGCATGAAGTAATAATCCTTACAAAGCTTCAAGGTCATTGCTATGTTTTGGCATGCACTAAAACATTGACTTGTAAAGAAAATCAATTTAGATCTAGGATCTCATGATCCTAAACCCAGAATTAGCCTGCTATTTCTGCTGTGCCCTAAGCGATGCTGAAACGATCTGAAGAAATTACTTGTCCAAACAAGAGTATACTTTATAATATAATAAAGCATAAAGAAACAAAACAACAACTAAATTATACAAGCAGACTGCACTGAAGTGTCTTCTTAGATTAAATATCCTCAATGTAACAATTAAATTTAAAAGGGTATCCAAAGCCTAAGCTGTACTAGCAAATTGCACACTGGGATCATACAATAAATTGGTTCTGCATCCTCTAGCAGATTTTTATTAGTATTAACTATTATTCTGAATTTTAAATATAGTTGGCGTTTGAGTCATTATTAGAATTAGAATTTCTTTCAGCTACAAAAGATTAACAAAAATCTTTTGTACCTAACAACAGCTATATATAAAAATGCTAATAGATAGGCAGTGACACTTTAATTAAATATATCTTAATGGCATACATATATATATGCAAACAGCATGATTTCATCATCTTTCCTTAAGAAAGAAAAAGTTAGTGCAGTTTGCCATTAAGAAGAAAGGATTAAACAAGTCACTCAAATGATAAGGTAGGGTGACTAAACCAAGCAACACTGGAAATAATCCAATAATTCTTAATATATGGAAGCCCTCATAAACCACAAAGATTAGGTATTACTGAAACAGATGTTTATAATATTAATAATAATAAAAAAAAAAGCTCAAAAGCTAAACGTAAGAGAGATAAAATGAAAGTGGAAACAAAATGAAAAGCAGAGATGAAAGGAGACTGATTTTCATTTTCAAATGGAAGCTCCTTTTCATTACAGTTTCTGGAGCAGGACCAGGAACTACAAAAATATATCTATGTATAGAGCTAGTGTACACGTGGATTTGACTACATAAGAAAAAGAAAGAAAGAAAGGTGTGTTAATCCACTATATTTAAGGAAACAACAGTCAGTCATCTGCCTTGAACCTGAAAAGAAGGACTACTATTGCAAATATGCATGCATATAAACATTCAAGTAATCATATTCAAAAAACCATTTTTTTCTTATTTTTAAATGAAACTGCTGCATTACTGGCCAATTATGTGCTTTCATTCTATTTTCTATTCTATTCATACAACCAAGTTTCATTTGAGCACTACTTCTGAAAACTTTTTCCTACAACTCAGAGCAAAAGTTTTGAATATTAAATAAAGCATCAGAAAAAAAAAAAAAAAAAAAAAAAAAAAAAAAAAAAAAGAATCCTTTCAGTCATTGCTAGAAATCTGAAAGAGACACAAACAGTGCTCTGCTAGGACACGTTGCCTAGGACACCACTGGCTGAACGTAATAACATAAAAATTAAGTTAGTAAACATAGTAATAGTGAACAATACATACTCCAGCTGCCTACCTTTAACAGGCAATAGTTTTTCTCCAAAGCCTAAAAAATGAGATCAGAAAAAGATTCACGATTTAAAAAAAATCAATAAATTCTCTTTTCATCAGTCAGAAATCCAAAATCTATTCAGAAACTTATTAAAATTTTCACTTGACAGACAGTAATAATGTCACCTGATAAATAACCATTTAAAATTAACTGATACAACTCAGATTGTGAACATTAAGTACAAAATTCTTACAGATAAATTCACAATTCAGTTAAAAATAAACAAAATTTGTGAGAAAAAAAATGGACATCTTGAAGGAATGGGCAATTTGCTCACTGTGGCTGGAATTTGTCTAAGCTAAGTTTAGCCTTTAACTTCTGACCTAGTCACTACAGTTTGTTTCTTTGTTTTTAATAAATACATGCACTCAAATGAAGAGAATGACTCTTATGAATTCTTCATTCATCTGGTTTATTTTAGATATGTATTTTAGAATGAGATGAACCATGCCCTAGACTCCATTGACAAGATTTCCTCTCACACTAAGGAGAATCCAGTGCAATTGTCAATATGTCATATGCAACTGTCGATGTATATATCTATAGATGGTCAAAGAAATTTCACATAGGTTCTCAGTAAATATTGTGTTTAAAAAATCATTGTCTTTCTCTCCTTTATGTTATCAATAAAACCAAAAGGACAGATATATAGTCTATGCAGTTCAGTGGTTATATTCCATGAAAATGCTGCATTTGAAGCTTGACTTCTCCATCTCAATATTGGCAGAAGATATACTGGATACTGTGCAATGTTACGGCCACTACCTACATATCTACAGACCAATTTCATCTCTGGTGTAAGATGATATAAGGCAACAGGTCTGCTTTAGTTTTTATTCCCAATGTCTGTAGACCCCAGAATGTCTGTCATCCCCCAGAAGCATAGTTAAAGGTTGCAAACAGGTGATAAAACACACTATGGAATTATTAGAAAAGTTACAATACACAAAGACAATATAGTATATAACAGAGCACAAAGTAGATGTAAAAAGATGCATTCAACGAGGTCCCATCAATGATCTTTTATTTTAATTGCATGTAAAATACATTTTATAATAGTAATATATTTTACATAGAATCAATGTGGTTTGCCTAATGGGAAACTAGTGCAAACCTATTAAAGCCATGCATTAGCAGAATTTAGAGATCTGCATAAATCTTATGCATTTCCATGTTAATCCTCTTATTCTGCTTGATGTTCTTTACATTTTTTTTGTTTGTTTGTTTTGTTTCTGTTTTTTACAGTTTCTTAGTTTACATTTTTACCAAAACACAAAACAATAACAAAACGACACACAAAAGATAATAGAAAAAATGTATGAGCTGGCAGGCCCAATGGGTTGTGGTCAGCAGCACAAAGGCCAGCTGGAGGACAGTCACTAGTGGCTCCCAGGGATTATTAGTGCCAATACTGTCTTCATTAATGACCCAGACACTGAGATAGAGTGCATCCTCAGCAAGTTTGCAGATGATACAAAACTGGGATGAGTGTCTGATACACCAGATGGATGTGCTGCTATTTAGAGGGACCTGGATAGTCTGAAGAAATAGGATAACAAGAGTCTCTTGAAGCTCAACAAAGGACAAAAGGACAATGCAGTCATGAAACTGAGCAGGAATAATGCCATGCACTAGCCTGGGTTGGGGGCTGACTTCCTGGAAAGCATCTTTGTGGAGAAGAACTCAGGGTCCTGGTGAACACCAGGCTAGACAAAATCCAGCAGCATGCTTTTGCCAAAAAGAAGGTCAATGGCATCCTGAATTGCATTAGGAAGAATGTTGACAGTACATTGAGGAATGTGATCCTTCCCGTCTAGTCAGCCCTGGTGAGAAACACCTGCAGTGCTTGGTCCAGTTCCGGGCTACTCTATACACAAAAGACATGAACACATTGGATCAAGTCCAACAAACAGCCGCAAAGTTGATTAAGGGCTTAGAGCATCTGTTGTATGAGGAGAAGATGAGATCTGGGACTGTTAAGCCTGGAGAAGAACAGCTAAGGGAACTGCTATCCACGTATATAAATACTTTATGAGGTCGGGGGTGGGGGGGTAAAGGAGACAGAGCAAGAGACCCTTTTCAGTGGTGCCCAGTGACAGGGCAAGACACAATGGGCACAAAAAGAAATACAAGAGATTAGACTCAGTACCCCATAAAATCCTTTTTACTGTGTGGGTGGTCAAAAACTCTAACAGGTTGCCCAGCAAGGTTGTGAAGATATCCAAAACCTGACTGAACACGGTAATGATCAGCCTACTCTAGCTGACAGCTCCAAGCTGGAAGGTGAAATAGCTGATATCCAAATGTCCCTTCTAAGGTCTCTTCACTGCAGAGAATTCAAAATTTTTGTCATTCTGTGGCATTAGTACCTTCCAAACTCCAACATATCTTCTTTTTCATGCCATCTTCCTTCCTACCACCTTGACTTACTACAACATTTCTGATTTCTTTCTCCTCCCTGTCTTCCTCTTTTTTCTATCCAAGGCCTTGGCAAACAGCTTCTCTATCAGTCACCAACCTACTCCACCTTTAACTATTTCAGAGTTAATCCAGCTCGACTGAAATGTTTTTTTCAAAGGTGAGTTGAATCTGCTGACCATCAATAACCTACCATTTCTTAGATAAAAGAAAAAAGTGTTTTGTGAAGGCATGGCTCACTTAAAATTTTCCCACAAAGAACAATTTTCAAATGGGTCGGTAAAAGAAAACGTTATGCTTTCTCCTATGTTATTACCACACTTATATTCAATATATGGATAAAAAAAAAAAAAAAAAAAAAGAGAGAGAGAGAGACATCAAAGACTGCTATAATGACAGCTTCCAATAATGTTTTTTTCCTTTTTGGAAAGGTCTATTTATCCTTCTCCATTGACAAGAAATGATGGCTGAATTCTCTGCTGAATTAAAAAAAATAAAAATAAAGGCCCAAATCTTCAGAATTTAATCCATAATAATGTGCTTACAGAGAGTCCTTCCTAACTTCAAATAGCTTCTGAAATGATCAATACTCAGACTTATACAGTGATAGAGAGATATTGTTTTACATGGATATAAACTTGAACATTCACTCTAGATCCAAAAAATCCATGTTCAGGAAAATGACTTTACTGGACAGGACATATATTTATGTTGACAGAAAACAGTCTAAATATATTCTGAATGGTTTTCCTAAAGTATCAATCCTTACAGCCAATGTGAAGGTGTGAAACATTTTATAAGGAAAACATACATTGATAGAAAACAGGAGGAAATTTTAAAGCTATCACAGACCTTTAATGACTCTGTAGCAGGGAATATATATAAATGTATCATAATATATGCTGAAAATATTAATTTTTGTTATCACCCCTTGAATTGGCTTGTACATTATCACAAAGTGAGCTTGTCTTTGGAATGGTCATACTTTCAGTTTTTCTGTGCTAAGTAACTACAGGTATCACATATAAAATGATAAGTAGAGATGAAAGGAGGATATTAAATAATAGAATGGATAAAGTTCCCACATGCTTAGAATATCATCATCCATTGTGACCGGCAGCATAACTCTTCATGATATTTTATTCCCCCCAAATTCCTCAAGTTCTAGCCTTCTAATGCTTCTAAATAGTACTTAAAATAGAAATAAATAAATAAATAAATAAACCAAAAAACCCTGACATTTACAGAATAAGCAAAATGACCCCATGTTTTTTCCTTAGTACTTATGCTTTCACTATAAGGAAACATTTATGAAAGTTATTAAGGAGTCTGCTTGGTGGATTGCACAGTCTCCATTATTTATTGCAATAACACATGTTGGCACCATGTCTAACAAAATACAAGTTTGTAAACTGTGTAGTCTTTTTTCATAATCTTCATTGCATAGCACTGCCGATTTCCTGATGGTGTTTCATTGCTGGAGTTGCTAAGTGTGCAAAGAACCAGTGAACTGAAATCCTGACCAATGTGCTGTGACTGATGTGTAATTCACCGTTTAACCACTGCTGTGCATGATGGATTGGAGGTGATACGAACATGACCCTATCCTTAGTGTATTTAGGATCAAGTATTAATCTTCAGCACTGAGCATTTTATTTATTTATTTATTTTTTACTTAGGAAAAGTTTTGGTTACAAATGATCACAAGTACAGGTAACAGAATTTATTTCTAGTTATGAATTATGAATTCATAAAATATATTCATTATTGTAACTATAATCTCAGAACTGCACATTACTATCAGAATATTTGACTTTTAGAGTGATCATTTATAAATAGCAAATGCAGTGCAGCATGTTCTGATGTTTTATTCTGGCTTTCAGAAAACATTTTGCTCTTGAAATTTCTATCAAGTAAATAAAAAAAATACGAGCTTTTTTTTTTTTTTTTAACTTACAAGGCAGACAATTTCATCCTTTTATCTACTCAAAATGTTTTTTGTTTTTTGTTTTTTTTTTCTGATAGTGTGTTTACATACTTGATTCTACAAAGGATAACTTACACCAAGGATATGCCATTCTACTGCCAGTCATATCAATGCAGACCTGTAATAACCATATTTGCCTTTTGATAGAACATGCTGCCTTTCTTTGAATAACAGTAGTTGAATAGGTCTTTTGCCACAAGTTGAACAGTGCTCAGTGTTTTGTGAAACACTCAGATTTTAGGCTGTTTGTCAACTAATATTAATTTTTTTCTTGTAGAACGCTATGGAGGTACTGACCTCCATTTCCAATGGAGGCTACATACGTACACACACATTTACAAAATTAATCTAGGAAGTCACAAGCTTTGTAAAGCTGAGAAAACTCTAGCACAGACCATTGCTCTTGTGGTTAACTAGTTTTGTGATGTTATTTATGCTGATATTAATATTGATTTGTACTACTGACTTTGGATACAAGACAGTTCATATGTCTTGTCAAGGGTCTAATTCAAAGCCTGATGGAGTCAGACTTGTTTTAAGGCACTTTGGATAATCCTCCAAATTTACACTGAATAAGAAAGAAAGTAACTAAAAACAAAAACAACAATAAAACCAGATTTGAGTCATAAAAAAAAAAAAAAGCTTCAAATTCTCTCACTTTTTTCTTCTTTTCCTCTAAACACTAGATCATATTTTGTAAACAATAATTCACTCTTTCCCTCTTACTTTTCTGACCATGGTAGCAGATAGCGGCAGAAGAAACTTGTAAAGATATTTGTATGCTTAGAAATATATATTAAAAAAAAAATAATAATAACTTTTGACATTTCCCGTCTTTGTTCCATTCTCCCATACTTCATTTCTTTCCTAATAGAAACATCATCTCTCTTACTGTTCTGGTCACAGTAAAGAGGATGAACTTTTACAGGTATTTGTATGTTTAGAAACACATATATTTAAATAACTTTTACAGTTCCGCCCTTTGTCCCTATGCTTCATATCTTTCATCATAGAAACAAAAATACTTGGAATATTTTCCATATTTATTTATTTATTTGAAGCAAACACAACAATATTGTAATAACTATTTTTTAAAGCAATGCTATTATTGTTAGGATATAAATCCCCATTAAAATATATGCTGTGTATAACAAAGGTCTATACCAAATAGAGAGAGACAGATACTTGGGAAGGTATCTGCCTATAACAAATACAGCAAAAATGTAATCTAAAAAAAAATATTGCACATCTGCAAGGTACTTTTTTGTTTTATTTTGTTTTTACTATAGTTGGCTAGTACACGCCTATTTACAGTGCTAAACTTACTGAATCAGGAGAAGTGGTTCCAAGTGAACAGCTTTCAGCATCAGTAGTCTCTGCTTTTTCACAGCTTTGGCTTTTTTGCTGTTGCAGTGTTTGACTTGTTTGGTGAAGGGAGGGGGGGGGGGAAGGGGCTGGGTATGACTAAGTATGCAAACTGTAAACCTTCATACAGAGAAAAACAAAAGCAGTCACACCTTGTGTGATACTAGACTACACTTCAATGAATTTACAACCTTCCTTTGAAATTTCCAGTAGAGTAACAAAATATTTAAAATGTGAGCTTAATCAAATTCTGTTGACTTCACCAAATACTTTCAAATACTTTTCAAATGAACTTTATTTATTTATTTATTTATTTTGCAAAGGAATACCCATCCAATAATTTAAAGGATATGATTTCAGTCTGAAGACTCATTTAAACAAAATAATTATCATCAACATCACTTACCTGATCATGTGGCATAAAGATTATACATCTATTTTCCAGCTCAAAACCATGCAATAGCCATTAAAAAAAAAAAATGCAATGTTTGAAATTTATGGAAACTAGGTTTATACTAACTACTTTCCAAGAGGCTTCTGAACACAGTGTAATTTGCTGCATTATTTGTGGTTAAAATAAACCATCCATAAGCAATAATACATAGAGTGGTGCTGTGCATAGACTATGAGGTTTAGACCAGTTGATATGTAATAGTTCAGTTGCTATAAAAATTAATCAAATCATAAGTATTGCATTCTATCCTAAAGAATAACAAGCCTCTTTTCATAGAGAGAAATTGGACTGTCATACTCTCACCAGCAGACTGAAAGGACTAAAAGAAATCAGTATCACACAGAAAGATGGATCAAGCATGAATCAATGTAGCAAGCACATAACCAAACAGACATGGAATTAAACAACGAAAAAACAACAACAACAAAAAAAGACCAACAAAGATTGTCGCTTAACCTGTTTTGTCAGAGCTGGTATTGATGGTATTGGTAGTGATGGAAGTGAAGGTAGTCTTTGCGCTGTCCTTGGTAGTAACAGATTTCTGCTTATTTTTCATGGCTTCCAGTGCTTTGAGCTTCTTGGCATGTTTAGTGCCTTTGTAGTGGGCCGCAGCCTGGCTCTACAAAGGAGAACAAAATGAACCATGCAATCAGGCTCATTTCTAAACTGGTATTCTCTGTATTAGTACAAATACAGACTACCTTTCAATAATGGGTACCACTAACATCCAAGTACTGAGCAAACAGAAAACTATATTTAGAATGATGCTTGGAAAACAATGGAAAAAAATACTAAAACATCTGCAATCCAATGAATACAGTATATTACTGTATAACAATTTTACTTACAGACCAAAATAAGATTGTTTTAGTATACTATGCTTAAAACATGTATCTTTATCAGCTTTTCTATCAAGATGTTTGTTTTTTTTTTGCATTAAAAAATTAATAATTCTCAGGCAATGGGGAAGAAAACACTATCCTCCCAGTAGCTTTTCACTTTTCCAATTCCTCTTAGAATCTAGAGATTTTGCTAAAGGCTCCTTCAAAGAACAGTTTACATTTAACAGTGGTATCAGGAACTTCTCTAATGAAAAGCAAAGACCAAGCTACCCAAAGCCAAACAAAAAACCAAACAAACAAAAAAAAACAACCAACCAACCAAACAAAAAAAAACGAAATATAAACCACACTCGTCAAAGCCCATTACCAAAGATTTACCTGCAGTTATCTGGTTTTCTTAATAAATAAATACATAAGTTCCAGTGTTTGAAATTCAAAGCCAGGAACATCCTTTTTAAGCAGAAACCTCACAAATATGTCTTGGCTACATGATATTAAGCTAAAATAGATTTGTACATGCATTGCTATTGAGATTTATGTATTACACTGAAAAGGATTATGCTGAAAGAACTCTTATTGTAAGAGTTAATAGCAACATTTCTTCTTTTAATTTATGTTGTATGTATATTTTAAGAATAGTATTTAAGTATAGGATTAAACCTTACTAAAAAAGACATTGGAATTAATATGAATAATCAGAGGGGTTTTTTTTTTTCCCCTCTAATATTTAAATTCTTAGAAATATACTCCTCCAACTAATAAAATAATAATTTGATAAAATCTGTATATTTTTTATTGCTGAAATTCAAACTTAACTGAAAACAATTCCTTTCCTAGTTGAAGGACATTATTGAGACCCTAGGAAAATAATCAAAATTTAACTACCACAGAAATGAATAAAATAAAAGCAACTATGCTGGGTCAGCCCAAGGATACATTAAAGTCAGTATTTTATTTCTGACATGAAACAACTGCAGATGCTAAGAGAGAACATATAAGGTAAACACTTTCTATTGTGGAATCACAAGAAATAAACATGTATGTCAATTAGGAGCTACAAACTAAAAGAATCAGAGGGATAAAATGACACAGTCATCAATTCACTAAGTCACTTGTACAGGTGCAAGATGCCTGCATTATCTGGTACCTGTTAGTCATTATACCTTTACTTAATGCTGCCCTGTGCTGAATTCTAGGATGTGAGGAAGTTCTAGTGAATATGACAATAAGAGTTTTAATTAATTAATCTTGAGATTTATGGTTTTCAGTATTCATGAAAAGTTATGTTTCCTTCCAGATGCCTGAGATTTGAGAAACTCAAGGTGAGAAGAAGCGAGAGACCTTATCTAAACTAATAAACACACATAAATGTATGTGTATGTTCACATAGAAATACATACACACACATGCTCTTGTGTATCAAGATGCATCATTCAGTTTGGTTGAAAAGCCAGTTTCTTTGTATCTAAAATAATGTAAACATTATAGTAGGTACCCTTATTGAAAGAACACTGGACAGTGAAGTTATTAATTAGAAACAACTTGGACAGAAACAGCACAATCATGCACCTTTTACAATTCCCAACACGTAACATCAAGACATACTGTAAGCCAGATACAAACAATCAAGAGATGTTAATTACTGTAAAACTGAAAGACCAGTGTCAGGTTATGACGATGCATTAAAAATGACATTATAAAGTACATCTTTATGATACTATCCTGTCAACTGTTTTTACAGTTTCTAGTCAAAATGAGTTACCAGTCAGCTTCAGTTTCTGAGTGCACTTGTTTTCCCTAACTAATAGTGTCATTCTTCAAATATCAGAAAAGTAGTCAGAACATGATCCTTAATACTAGATGATGAATGCCAATTTTAGTTTGATATGCAGCTCAAGTTTCTTCACAGAATTACTGGTAGAACACAACCAGGTTTATGCCTCCTGCATCCACTTTTCACTCCAAATTCTCACAGCTACAGCTCCACAAAACTCAACCTAAGCAGAGTGTTGGATGCACAAGGAATATAAAATAAGGCCCTATGTAGAAAGTGGTGACCTTTTCAGTATTCTGAAATACATTAATGAAAACATTCCAAAGTAGAAAAATGTTGCTTAAACTTACAGGTACAGTGGCTGTTACGAAAAGTTCTCCATTGCTCACTTCCCACAGATCACAGATCACTGACAGTTTACCTAACCTCTAGAGATTCTTAGTTGCAAGAGTGGGGTGGGGGAAATGGAAAAATATCCATAAATATCTTTTCAACATGACAACATAAAATATGGTACTATCATTCCTTGCAGCCATAAGAGAACTAAAATAATCCTCACTACTTAAATGACATTTACTTGTAGCTTATAAAATTAATTACTTAAAATAGTATTTGCTGTCAGCCTAAATAATAATAAATAAAAAATTATCATAAATTAAATTTTTCCCTATTTTATCTTAATATTATCTTATGTGTATATATGTCTTAACAACTTGTGCAACAAGTTGTGCTCAGACAAGTTATAAGCAGAGGATATGTAAAACCAAGAATCTACTGAACTTAGTGGGAATCAAGGGAAGATTTCCCTTTACGTTTCTTATAAAGGAGTAGAGAATTTTATAATTGTTCATCTTGCTGAAAGCCAACCTCCTTTGTGAAACAGCTGTTTAGTCTAAAAAAACAGATGTTCTTTCAAGCAACAGAGATTCAGGACAATCCTAAAATGAAAACTCTCATATTATTAGAGAACACCAAGTGTGTTCTCCAAACATCTCTCCTAAAAGTCATCTAATATTATTTTCTTTTTCTTTTTATGATTATAACATCATCAGAATAATACCTTAAGACAGACCTTACTTTCTTCTTTCATCACAGTTTCCAACACAGTGTTTTTTTTTCTCACATCACCTTCAGCAAGTTTGTAGACGACACCAAGCTGGGTGGTGCAGTTGATACCAAAGGAAGAGATACCATTCAAAAGGACCTGGACAGGCTAAAGAAGTGGGCCCACGTAAACCGAATAAGGCTCAACAAGTCCAAGTACAAGGTGCTGTGTCAGGGTCAGGGCAATCCCAGATAGGAGTACAGAATGGGAGAACTCATTGAGAGCAGCCATGTGGGGGTTATGGTGGAAGAAAGTCTTGACATAAGCCAGCAGCATGCAGTTGCAGCCCAGAAGGCAAACTCCTTCCTGGGCTGCATTAAAAGAGGTGTGACCAGCAGAGCAGGGGAGGTGATTGTGACCCTCTACTTTGCCCTCATGAGACCCCACCTGCAGTACTGCATTGAGGTTTGGGGCCCCGAGCACAAGGAAGGTGTGTACTTGTTAGAGCAAGCTCAGAGGAGGATCACAAAGATGATCGGAGGGCTGGAGCACCTCTCCTATGAAGAAAGGCTGAGAGAGCCAGGTATGTTCAGCCTGGATAAGAGAAGGCTCCGGGGAGACCTCATTGTGGCTTCTCAATGCTTAAAGGGGTTTTATAAAATAGATTGAGAGGGACTCTTTATTCGGGTGAATAATGATAGGACAAGGGGGAATAGTCTAAAATTAAAAGTGAATATATTTAGATTAGACATTAGGAAGAAATTCTTCACTGTAAAGTTAGTGAGGCACTGGAACAGCTTGTCCAGAGAAGCTGTGGATGCCCTACCCCTGGAGGTGTTCAAGGCCAGGCTGGATGGGGCCTTGGCCATCTGGATCTAGTGGGTGGCATCCCTGCCTATGGCAGGGGTGTTAAAACTATATGACCTTTAAGGTCTCTTATAACCCAATCCATTCTATAATTCTGTGATCCTCTGATTCCATGTTTGATATACTGAATTATCCCTAGCACTGTGAATACAAGTGTCAGCTGACATGTTACCCAGTCTTAGTCTCATGATGGAACATGAAAAATATGCCAAATATTGCTGCTTTAACATTACAGTGCACTTTAAGGAACTATATCCATTCTTCAAAGAGATGTCAAACAAGAAAGTAAAAGGTATATTATATTACTTTGTATCTGAATTTGAAAACCCATGGATCCTTAACTAAATTTTGAGAGCTCTGATCCTGAAAATCACATGTGGATAAAATTTATTCTATGTGAGTTACATAAAAACCAAAGAAATGGCAAGATGTCTAAATGGCAATTCACTTTTCAAGGCTATTTTTAAAGTCCTGCCTGTTTCAGCAATATAGATAAGTTCAAGAATCTCTTTTGCAAAACAAATAATTTCCTCTGGTTCTGCATATCTATGATGAATAATTATTGACCTTTCTAATTCACAGATTTTCTAAACTTGCCAAATTGTTAGAATATAAAAACATATTTGTCTGTGTAAAAAATAAAGTATATATACATATATATATATTTATTATAAATACACATGTACATACCATAAAATAATAACAATTCTATATGCATTTTGTATAGTTACACCTGAGAGCAGTTAGAAATAACAGCCATAGTGTCAAAACTCAGCTGTATTTTCTTTGCTTAAGTGCAATATTGTACCACAATTACCATAAGGACATCACATTACCAAGAAAATTGCAATGTGTAAAATATGATGAGAAAGATATGAAATATTTCAAACAATCCAGACAGTATTCTTGTACAATTACAGTCATCATATCTATACAGAAGTCTTCAAAATACATTTGTCAGTCTGACTAATATACTCCAGTGAATCATGTCTTCTCACTTATGTTCTTTAGGCATTGGTTCAACAAAAACATTGTGCTTAATTTTGTGCACTGAAACACAAAAAGGTCTCCTATTCTCAGAGAATTTTCAG